CAGGGTTGTGATCCTGTTTCTGACGTAGTCCTTCACACCTTTCCACGTGCGGTTTCTCAGCGCTCTTGGCTCAGCATCAAGACACTTTATGCAGTCGTCTTTCTGAGGCACCTTGTGGCCTTGAATGAAACTCATCATGTGTCTTTCTACAGCGTGGACCTCTGCCTCCTCCCACGTGTGTTTAGTTTTATGAAGGGAACCTATGAGGATGAAAAAAAAACAAAAAAAACATATAACAATATATATATATTTTTTATGGGTATTTCTTTTTATGATTTTGTCAGGGGCCATCTGTAGATGCTTCTATCATGCAACTGAATGTATTATTTGCTGTATTTGTGCCCACCTTGTTTTTATAGATAATACCAAATTACTGTTTCATTCGGATGCTAATGACTGCTTGTTGAGAAAGTGCATCCATCATGCCCAACAAAGAAGTGGGCACACCTATTCTGTTTATTTTTAGATGTTAAATATAAATAACTACTTTACTTTTTATGAAATATATAATATTGAACTGGAAGGGCTATAAGTAAAATGCTCCACACACAGACTTTGTTCCATTTTGGATACTATTTGTTTACATTTGTTTATTTTCCATGAGCTTTTTTCACCTAAAATGCTGCACGTAGGACCGCCATGTCTAGATTGTGTTAATATATTGTGCTGCTAGAGGCTGGTGGGTTTACTTGTGAAATAGTTTGAATCTTGTTTGACAAAATATGTGATTATTTCATTCATCGTGGTAAAAAGCTAACATTCCAAAAATTTGCGAAGATGAACGAGGCAGATGAAGAAAGATGTAAGGTTCAGGACCAGCAACACATAAAAGGTGGTTGGCCTACTAATTTGACTCTTGTATTTTTATTAATTTATTATAAGTTTGTGTGACGGTCCCATTATTGTGATGAAGGCAATCTAAACCTAATGCAAACAGAAATGAATAGACAGGAAGTATATTAAAGGTGACCATTATTACCTTTCTCACTGGATTTGACAGATCTGCTCGTTTTGCTGGAGCTTGTTGTTTCTTCATGTTCTTGTTGATAAAACATTTCTGTTCCACCACCTGCATAGGAGTCATTGTGATCCCATGAACTGGCTTGTTCTCCACCTGCAGACTGTCTCACTGTATTGAAGACAAAAAATATATACGTATAAGGAAAATTATTACTTTATTACTTTTTACTGGGAATCTTAATGGGGAGAGTAGGGGGAGAGATAAGTCAATTAAGAGGGAATGTTGAAGAAAACAACATCATATCAAATCTACAGCGGTTAGTAATGTGCAGTACTCTGCTGTGGCTCTGCTGATTTTCTGGGCCTTTTCCTGCTTTTCGGTGAATCCAGGGAGAAGCCGCTTTGTCTTTGTAGGGTTGTGATCCTGTTTCTGACGTAGTCCTTCACACCTTTCCACGTGCGGTTCCTCAGCGCTCTTGGCTCAGCATCAAGACAGTTTATGCAGTCGTCTTTCTGAGGCACTTTGTGGCCTTGAATGAAACTCATCATGTGTCTTTCTACAGCGTGGACCTCTGCCTCCTCCCACGTGTGTTTAGTTTTATGAAGGGAACCTGTCAGGAAGAAAAGAAAAGAAATCAATGATCCTGACATTAAAATTAATCTTGGGCAGAGAGTATAGGAATATTTTTCTGAGAACTTCTT